CGCGCGTCCGTGCGTGTGGTGCCAATGGGAATTAGAGGTAGGCACACGTGTCACAGCAAATAGGTTCAAGCACGCCAGAGAGCCATATATACGGGTATTATTAGCTCTGTAGCTCTATATCTCTCGTAATAAATATCACTGTAGCGCCGTACAAACCGCTGGACAGGCTCATTAGACTTAGAATAGATGGCGACGCATGTATTTCTTATTACGCGTACAGCAGAGAGCCCGCTAGCACTGTGAAAAACCCCCGTTGCGACACCTGCAACACAGGCCGCGCTCTTGTGTTTCGCACAAAACATCGATATTTATCGTATCTGTGCGCCCGCTCTTTCTTTCTCTCTCTCTCTCTCAGTATCTCTCTCTCTCTCTCTCGCGCTTCTTCTCCATTTCCGTCTCTCTCCTTCCTCTTTCTCACATGACACTCGCACGCACACGCACGCACGCATGCGGACATAAGGCTGCCTTGGCTCTATCGCTCCTAATGTTGCCGGCTTTACGTTTCCCCGCTGCTGATATTTGCCGGAAAGGCGTAGAATTCCCAATGGTACGTAAAAGCTATTTACGTATACGTAGGTGTGCCTGCCTCTCGCAGAAAGGTACGCTGTAGGCCCTAATAGATATCAGCAACTCACCCCACAGACACCTGGCGATCGCACGTCATCGCTGCCTTGTCAACACCTAACGAAAATAATCTGATTAGACTGTCGCCCACGTCTGTGAGATGAAGACATAGTAGTCTCTACCTCGGGGTATATGCTTGTTCCGACGCCATCGTATAGAAGAAAACGCCATCTTAGATATAATGTGATGTTTGTATTGATTGTGAATGGAAATTCGGTGGTAGTTTGGCCCGTGGCAAAGTAAAATTAAAAATGCGTTTAAACGGAGCCATTTCGAGTCAGAGTGTACGATACTACCGTGCATTATCATTGAGTTGTTTATACCACGAGTTTTTATTCATAACTAAAGTTAATTTATTTTATTTTATTTTATTTAATATTTGTATTTTATTCGACGGATAAAGCGTTTTTTATTTGCTTTTATTTGAAATTAGCAGGGGTGAATAAAAACATATTAACTTGATTTAGATGTGAGGTGGTAACGGGAGCGGCACCGTGCCATCCTACTCGTCATTATAACATAACTTTCCAGACGCGTAAGCTGCGCATACACGTCATGTTCAATATCAATGGGCAAGTGAGAGACAGAAGGCGGCGAAATGATCGGCGTGTTACACAACCGGAACTCTCAGTTACGGCTCCGACTGTAGAATACGAGTATTCCACCCCACTGTCACTCCTGCCCCACCCCCATCTTCCTACGGCGCCGTAGTAAGAGAGCCCGGCGGCACTGTCCTCATCTGGCAAGATTGCATTGCGGACAGCCAGATAGGGCGCACGGGCGGACAGACAGATAGGGCGGACGTACAGACAGACAGATAGAACAGGCAGGCAGATAGAGCGGACCGGCGGACAGACATAGGGCAGACGGGCAGACAGACAGATAGGGCGGACGAGCGGACAGCCAGATAGGGCCGGTGGGCGGACAGACAGATAGAGCAGGCGGGCGAACACCCAGATAGGGCGGACGGGCGGACAGCCAGATAGGGCGGACAGACAGATAGGGCGGACCGGGGGACAGACAGATAGAGCGGACGGGCGGACAGACAGATAGGGCGGACGGGCGGACAGCCAGATAGTGCAGGCGGGCGGACAGACAGATAGAGCAGGCGTCGAACCACCCAGATAGGGCGACGCGCGCGTCAGCTGCCAGATAGGGCGCCACGACGACAGCCAATAGTGCAGGCGGCGCGACAGACAGATAGAGCAGCGGGCGAACACCCAGAAGGCGGAGCTGGTTTGGCGACAGCCAGATAGCGCGCACGACGGACAGCCAGATAGGGCAACACGACAGATAGGGCGAACCGGCGGACAGATACAGATTAAGGGCGGACGATGGACAGCGCAATAGGCGGGCACGAGGCGTACAGCAGATAGGCAGCGCGGCGGCAGCAGGCCAAGGCAGCAGTGCATGCAAGACATTTATGCAGACATGTATGCAAGCAGTCTCAGTGCAAGGAGGCATGCCATGGCAGGCAGTAGTGCTAGGCAGGCAATGCAGACATGTATGCAAGGCAGTCAGGCAAGGAGGCAGGCAGGGCAGGACATACATAGAAAGAGAGGACCTATGACATCGATCCAGCTCCTACAGCTCCTACTATCTCCTCCGCTGGTTGCCGTCATTCGACGCTTTGTTTGGCGAAAAAACAACACCACAGTTGAAGTAATGCGTTTCCATCCCCTCTCTCTCTCTCTCTTTCTCTCGGCTATTTCCTCCCTCTCCTCTCTCGGATTCCTTCTCTCTCTCATTCTTTTTCTCTCCCCCTCTCTCGCTCTCAGACTTTATCTCTGTCTCTATATATCGCTCTCGGTCTCTCTCTCTCTCTCTCTCTCTCTCTCTCTCGCTCTCTCTTTTACCCTCTTGGTTTTTGCACAAGCTTCCTCTTCCTCTCCTTCTTCCTTACCCTCTTCCTCTCCCTCCCCCTCACCCCTATCTCCCTCCTCTATCTTTCGTCGTCCCAATCTCAATGCCACACACAGTAGCCCCCACTCTGCTCTCCCCACACATACTCTTGATCCACTGTCGCCGTTCCTTGGTTTACGGAGAGTTCACATGGCTTCCACGCTACCCTCGTTCTGTGTATGTCTCTACGTCCCCCTCCTCCTTTTCTCTTTCTCGGTCTTTCTTTCTCTTTCACTCGATCTTTCTCTCTCTCTCGCCCTCTCTCCCGCCCCTCTCTCTCTCTCTCGCTTGCCCTCTCCCCCCTCCGGTCCGTCTCTTCCCATTCTACTAGCATCTCTCTCCGTCCCTTTCTTCACTGTTGCCCCCCTTTCTTTCTTCCTCCCTCGCTCGCTCGCTCCCTATGTCTGTCTCTCTCCCCACTCTTCTCGTTATCTCTCTCACGCTCTCTCTCCTCTCTTTCCTTCAAGCACGCTATCTTTTTCTCTCGCACGCTCGTTGTCATTCTGCCGCTCTCTCTCTCTCTCTCAAGTTCGTATAAAGCACGTTTGTACACGGCCACCCACAGCACGAGCTACCAATGTCATACCTGCTAAATACATACTAGTGTAGCGACTAATTTATGAATGGTATCAATAACGTTGTCGAATGTAATTTTTCCCTATTGATCGCATACGTTCCTATTGACTGGACTCGCTGTCCAATGCACCCTGACGGGTGGGTCCATACGTGTAGGATGTGCAGCATAGACAGTAGGCATCTCTCATATGCGCGCGTGTATGCGTGCGCGCGTGTGTGCGTGCGTGTATGTGCATGTACGCGTCTTTGTGACTGCGTGTGTGCGTGATTGCACGTACGTGTAGTTGTAGATGTATACGTACGTTGGAAAGCGTAAGGAGCAGCAGTCGCAGCGACACTAAGATCATCATCATCATAATCATCATCATCATCATCAGCAGCAGCAGCAGCAGCAGCAACTACAACAGGATTAAGTAGCGGCACAAGATATTCCGAGCGTATATTCTAGTCTGCGCCACGGCGTCATGGTAACAAGCTGTCATTAGCAGCAGCAGCAGCAGCAGCAGCAGCCTGTTGCCATGTGATTATCGACGTGTGAGTCTCCCTCTGGCCAGCGGAGGTGAAGGTGACCTAGAGTGAAGGTCAGCAGCTACTGCTACCCTGCTACTAGGCGCGTTCCATTTGGCGAATAGGGAGGGGCAGGTGGGATCCGCGCGCTGGCGGCTGTGTGCTGGTCTCTCTCGAAAATGGTTTTGATGCCGTAACGTTTCGGGTATTAGCAGCGAGACAGAGTTGACTTTTCTCAATGCAAGATTGCTATCTCGTACGCGCATGCATGTAACCAAAGACCGTATGCACACATTCGTACTGTGTTCGCAGGCAAATACATGTCTCACTAGACCGCAGACGTATTGCAAATGCAAACTAGCGAAATAAGCGATTAATGATATTTCATGCTCGCGAGATCAAAACAGTACAAACCCTGCCGAGTCGCATGCGAGGTATTGGAGCGCACTTGTCGCTAGTATCACTCCACAAAATACGCCTATATAAATGAGACAACATGCCGAAAAGTCTCCGAGTCAACGCAGTGTGATCAGTCCAGTTTACAGTAATACGACAGCAAATAGCGATATAAACCTATTTCAGTACAAGGTAGGCGAATAACTAAAGGTATGAAATAAGCACAAGAACATATAAAAAAAATTTATTTATGCCAAAAGTGGAAAATCGGTAAAAATCCGGGAGAATATGTGGCAGACTCCTTAGTTAGACTCCTCTATTTTGTGCATATCTGTCTTACCTCTGTATCAATAGTAAGAAAATTAGAACCGAGCGCTTTGTGGTAAGGTCGATGGAAATGCTCAAAATTCAGCTTTCTTCATAAAAGTATCCCAAAAACAAGCATATTTCCTTAAAATATGCACAACAATTGCATCAACAATATTCAAGAATTGCGGCGCGGCGCGACGCAGTGCGTAGAGCCATGTATGTACGCGGGCGTACGGGGTTACGGCGCATGCACCAGCCTCGACTAATCACGAGCAAGTGCATCGAAGCAGTAGCAGCAGCAGTAGGACAAGCGCCAAATATATAAATAGATAACAGTACAAACTCGTGGTATTTTTGTATTTAACTGTGTTTTTATACTGGAGTAATCAATAACATGTTCGCTATGATGTGAGACTATACTCGATTATGCAGTTATTTATGAAATAATTCCTTTAAGTGGGAGCTGCGCCCTTCCTTCGCCATTACTTGGCTGAGTCAGGAAATGTTGCCCCCCCCCCATTCACCAGAAGATGTCGCTTAGGTTAAGGCTCTGTGACTACTATAGCTATACGCATTGTCATCGTTATTTGTGGTTGGCTGCTAAGTATCAACAGGTAGGTGACGGTGGCAGTAGGTAGACAAGCAGTGCTGGGGTGTTAATATCTGCTATTGTTTCTCGTTTTCAGCGGTACGAGAGGATCGTATGCCAGGCGGACGGAACTCAGGCGCTGTCTACAACATGTACAAG